GCGCGCGGAGCCCTCCGCCGGGCCTGGCGCCGGCTCCGTCCCTGCCGTGCGCGCTCCGAGCGACACCGGCCGTCCGGTGACACCCCGGTCACCGCTGCGCCGCCAGGGACGGCCGAACGGGCGCGGCACTTGGCGGGGTGAGAGCGCTGTGGAGTTGGAACCGGTGCAAGTGACGGGGAGGAGCGAGGCTGCGCGGCTGGGAGCGCAGCCCCGCGGGCAGCCCGCGTGTGGGTTTGAATGGGTTGGGACAGGTTTAACCTGCTGCCAGGGGACACGCTGGAAATCACCTTCCCGTCAAAACGCCAGCACTCCGCGGCCTCGGAATTACTTAAAAGTACAAATGCAAATAGCTTGGGTTTCATTATTATTCTCTGCTTGGGTTTCATTATTACTCTCTGCTTGTAAGAGATACAGCTCGGCCAGTTTTATGGAGATTAACCTGAATTAAGGAACTGTATGTGTAACTTACCGAGCAGAAGTAAAGAAATGCATCTGAATGGAGATCTGAAAGCACTTGTGACACCTATCACCTTTTGCTAGAACATGTTTCTCCAGAGTAATTTCTATGGAATTAATTCTTTAGAAAAGATTTTTTTTTTTCTCTGAGACAGAGATGATCAGAGGAGGGCTGCTCTGGAAGCCCTTCTTTCTGGAGGAAAAGTTGTGGAGTTTGAGGCAGTGTGAGTGGAGTGAACATCTGTTCCAGAAACCCAAACAGTTTTGGTGTTAGGTTGAGCAAAAAGTTGGTTTTTGTACATGTGAAAACGCCACATTCAGGAGTAAAGTCTGCTTATGCTACCACTGTGCTGTGTGAAAAAATGGCATTTATGTTCCCAGCAGCACTGCCCCTCAGGGCCAGGCTCATGGGGTAAGCAGTGCGGGCCACAGTGCCCCATGTCTGCCTGTGGTGCTGTCTCCAGCAAAGAGAGAAACAAGGTACACCCAGTACAGGAGGATGTGGTTTAATGCTGAATCGAGACAGAACGTTTTGATGCAGACACACCGTACCATACCATTTGTTCTGAGCAGATCTACAGGAAATGTTAACACATTTCCAAATAAAACGGTTGAGTTTGGGACTTAACCTGTTAGATGAAAAAGGAATTCTGTGGAAAACATCTTTAAAAGAAATATTAGTTGTGCTCAAGCTCAACCTCCTTCTTGAGAGAGAATTTCTTAAGCAGACCTACCTGGTGGTTCTTTAGTAGTAGATTCAGAGAAGAATCCCTGCAGCTCTTTCAGCTTGAGAAGAACCAGGCCATTTTCAGGGAAACGAGGAAAGGCCAATACTTAGGCACAAGTTCTCAAGTCTTAACTCTGGGATCAAGGACAAAGATCAGAAAATGTACAGCAAAAGGGAGATCTGGACTGTTCTGGTTGCCAGCCACCCGCAGGCCCTGATGGGGGGTTCTGGAGGCTCACTGGTGCTCTCTGTGCCCTCAGCCCACACAAGCCCACACCGCTGGGCCCCTCTCCTGCCGCCTCTCCTCGACGCTCTCTCACCCCGCCACTGTTCTGGTCGAGCCCTTTCCTGCTGTGTAGCAGTGGCTTCTGCGGGTCAGAGGGGCCGGTGTGGCCAGTGCCGGGCCGGGGCAGAGGCGCTGCCACAGCCCACAGGGAGCTTGCAGACCTCGGGATCTCCCGAGCCCAGCGCGGCCCACACCGCCTGCACTCCTTTGTGAGCAGCAAACTGAAATTTTGTTAGCTGAAATTCAGCTTCTGCTTCAGCTATCAGACATTGCACTGATCTCAGCAGATCACAGGAGACACCTGCAGTTGCTATGCTCATGGAATTCTTTCTTACAGACAACCTCTGAGACAGCTGTGATCAAAAGAATATCATGTATGAGGCTGTAAAAGACTATTTCTCTGGTTTCTTTCAGCCATGAAGCAGGAGAAGAGGACTTCAAGGTGCTAGTGCTGTTTCTTGCAATAATGATGAGCTGGTCATTTTCAAAAGCTGACAGTGATCAACATCACTAAGTAGACCAAGCAGGCCTGCTCCATGGTGTGCCTGACCTCTGCAGCTGGGGCACAAGAGTGCCTTGGTTCATTTCCAGATCCACACCTGCTTTTCTGCTGTAGTGAGACCTCTGAAGTGGTGACCCACAACTAAACATTCAGGATTTTGCTGTTAATTTCCTTTTTTATCTTCCTTTTACCTTTCTAATTTCCATAAGGTTGCTGTTCATCCTATGTTATAGAAGAGCAATTCATTGAGACCCAGGCTGTAGGTGAGTGGTCTGTACCACACTATGAAAAAACTTCCAAATGAAGGAGTTAGGTTTGATGGCCAGTGGTTCTGACATATCTAATAATAAATCAGCAGCTGCACCAGTAAAGGACCTTCTAACTGTTGATGTAAAATCTTAAGAATATTGGGAATTGCAAATTTCCTGCCATAAGAAAATCATAGAACGTGAAAGGATGATATGAAGTTCTGTCATCTATATCTGCTATGTATTGGTGAGGAATATGGTCAGAAAAAGAAAAGAACTTAACTTTAAATGCAACACCAAGTAGAATAAAGCTTACCAAACAAAAGGAGAATACTCAAGTTAAAATACAGCAAATATGGGAAGGTAAAACATAAAATAATTACTACTTCTATTTTCACTCTGTGACCAGACTTCTGTTAGGGTTTGCCAGCTATGAAGCAGAAAGTGATGAAGTTAGAAGCCATGTATTGAGCATAGTCACTTCCAATGGATATAATCCACAGAATCATTACTTTGAGCTTGGTTTAACTGGTTTCAGTGTTGGTTTTGGTCTTTTATGATTTTCCCATTAATTATTTCTGTTTCTTAACTTCTCTGAGCTTTTTGCAATGTGTGAATGTTGTATGTTGCCACTTTTGCTAAGCTTCTTTTCATTTAGAAGCACAGAAATGTCATCAGGAAGTGCTCAGATGAGTGAATTGATCCAGTAGCTTAGTCAGTAAAAGTTGCATAACATTCATTCATGTTCATGCTTGTAAATCAGCAGTGACTCACAGGTGAAACCACCACTGCAGAATATTGCAAAAAATGCTGGATATTTTTGCAATATCCTTTCTGAAGCAGATATTATAATGTCAGATGAGTAATATGATAAGCCTACTGGAGTAGTCAATGCTCAGAAATCAGCATTTTATATTTGCAGAATCATTACAAAAAGATATGATGTTTGGGTACAATTGATAATGTCTGCTGTTGAGCAGTTGGCATGTTTGTGTGAGACTGCAAACTGAATTTGGAAGTGGGAGTTCTGTCAGTTTTTCTTCTGCCTCTCAGCTGAGCCACTGCAAAGAACAAAAGAAAGTCTTGCAGACAGCATCATGAGCTGGTGAAATTCTGTGTATTTCTGGGTGGCTGTGCATCCCAGTGGAGCCTCCGTAAGAAAATGGCTGCTTTCCATGGCAGAACATTATTTATAATCTGAATCTGGACATAAAGGTGAGAGTGTAATGGAGATTCAAGAGCAGTGATTATGTCATGAGGCTGATGAGAGCTTAGCAAATTATACACAAAAGCACCTCTGCTTAGCCTTTTTCTTTTAAGGAGAGTATAAGCATACTGCTGGTGGAGGAAAGCACATGGAGGGACAGAAATCTGGTTTGTTGCTGCTTGATTCAAAGGTCATCTAAAGAGAGGGAGTGAGAGACTGAATGACACTGAACTAGATTGCTCAGAGACCTCTGATGTTAGAGAGTTGTTGCAAGGTTGCTGAAAAAGTGGGCAAGTGCATGTGGGTTGTTATTATATCTATATGAGCCTGTAACTTGTGATATGTAAAGTAAAAGTAACTGGTTTTCAGCAGGTTCATCTGATCTGCATATTTGCTTTCCCTGAAGATTGCCACTGAAGGAATAAACTGTGAACCCAAAATGTCCACTTAACTGGGAGACTTGTACCCATTTCCAGAGTCTGAATGCAGATGGGTCTGCGAGATCCAACCTCTGCAAAATTTGCTCCCCACGGTAGGAGTGCCCTGCAGAAACTAAATCCAGTAGAGTTTGCAGTGTGTCCAAGAGTGTTACCCAGGGTAGGAACACAGTTTTTAAGTGGATGTCCTTTTTAAAAAGATTTATCAGCACAGATTTCAGCTTCACTGGCCTTTGTGCAGTAAAACTTCCTTTTATTCCTGTCTTTAGTCTGCATCTAGGTCATTAGCCCAGGTGTGTAGCGAGTCCATCTATCCACACAGCCTTCTGGGTAAGCTGTGCAAGTCAGTTCCCTCAGTTTTGTGTAAAATAAGTGAATCTGTCTCTTACTGATTCATTAAAGAGAGTGAGGCACCCAAGCCTGAATTGCACTCCTCTGGAAATCATTACTCAAATGTAGCTGGAGGCTGGGCATGGGATAATGGCTGTTGACAAGGTTCAGTCAGCTTTAACTGGGTGTGAGTGAGTCCTTGTACTGGCTTTGCCTGAGATGGGGTTAATTTTCTTCACAGCAGCTGTGCAGTGCTGTGCTTTGGATGTGTCACCAAGCAGTGCTGATGCCACCCAGATGTTTTAGCTACTGCTGAGCAGAGCTCACACAGTGTCCAGGCTCTCTCCATTTCTCACTCTGCCCCTGCAAGTGAGGAGGCTGGGGGTGAGCAAGAGCCTGGGAGGGGACACAGCCAGGACAGCTGCCCCCAGGTGAATGAAGGCATGTTCCATACTCTACATCATGCTCAGCAGTGAGGCTAGGGTGAGTTTTCCAGGGGTTGCCATTGCTTGGGAACTGGCTGGATATTGGTGTAGCTGCTGTTAAGTAATTGCTTTTGTATCACTGGTTTTTCTTTTTTTGTTTGTTTTGGTTTGGTTTTTTCTTTCCCCCTCTCCTGATTAAACTGTCCTTATCTTGACACACAAGTTTTCTCACTTTTGCCCTTCCAGTTTTCTCCCTCATCCCACTGTGGGGAGAGTTAGGGAGCACCTGTTGTGGGACTTGGTTTCCTACT